TAAATTTTTACGCAACCGCTGCAGTCGCTTGTGTCGGTATGCTAAAAGACGCTACTTTTACAACTCTCTACACAATAAAAATTCTACTGAGATGTGGAAGTTCCTTCGTTCTGTTGGTGTGGGCAGGTCTCCGATCCTAGAATACAATGACGTTAAAGTAAAGGATCTAAACAATCACTTTGCTACCCCTCCTATGACTTTAGATCCTTACATCAAATCCAACACACTACTCGCATTGGCGGGTATACCGAAACCGCACGTTTGCCCTTTTCATCTTTCCCTTGTAACGGAGGAAGATGTCAAAAAAATCCATCCTAGCCATCTCTTCAAATGCTGTTGGTATTGATGGTCTATGTGCGAAGATGATTTTGCTAGTTCTACCTTTACTTCTACCAATTCTTACTCACATATTTAATTTTTCTATATCGTCATCATCTTTTCCTTCAGTTTGGAAACAAGCATATATAATTCCTCTGCCTAAGGTTTCTAATCCTTCTTCTTTATCCCACTTTCGTCCCATATCTATTTTACCCTTTCTTTCTAAAGTTTTGGAACACATCATCCATAGTCAACTCTCTCTCTTCTTATCGTCTAACTCCTTGCTCTCCACTTATCAGTCGGGCTTTCGTCGTGGACACAGCACTGTCACTGCTTTACTTAAAGTAACCGATGATATCCGTTGGGCCATGGACAATAAATCTCTTACACTTTTAGTTTTGCTTGACTTTAGTAGTGCTTTTACCTCAGTAGACTTTGATATTCTTCTCCGGATCCTGGAATCTATAAACATTTCCCCATCTGCCATCGCATGGTTTGATTCATATCTTCGTGGTCGATCACATTGTGTCCGTGTTAATGACACTCTATCCGATTGGTCGGGTATCACTACGGGTGTACCTCAGGGTGGCGTTCTTTCCCCCCCTTTTATTTTCCATATTTATTAACTCTATTACGAGTGCTATTACATCTAATTACCATCTCTACGCGGATGACTTACAGCTTTATCGTCATTTTTCCGGTGGGTGATACAAATAATGCAATTGCAGCTATGAGTGCGGATCTGGACCGCATCTGTGAATGGTCTGCATCCTTCGGACTATTAGTCAATCCCCCGAAATCTCAGGCCATCATAATAGGCAGTAGGCATTTGCGTAATAGATTAGAATTTACATCACTACCTTTTGTTTGTTTTAATGGCGTTCCTATACCATTTGAAAATACTGTCAAAAACTTAGGCGTAATATTTGATCACCATTTAACATGGACCACGCATATCGCTGAAGTTAGTCGCAAGGTCTTCTTTACTTTGCATTCGCTTAAATGTCTACAAAATTTCTTACTCCTTAAAGCTAAAATATTACTCGTGCTTACTCTTATCCTACCTCTCCTTGATTATGCGGATGCCTGTTATTTGGATGCTACAGAGGAGCTTCTTAATAAACTTGAGCGCTTGCAAAATCAGTGTATCCGTTTCATATTTGGGCTCAAGAAATTTGACCGTATATCTCAGTTTCGTAAGCAACTCAAGTGGCTTCCAATTCGACTTCGAAGGAACACTCGATTCTTATGTGTCCTCTATAACATTTTGCATAACCCTTCCTCTCCCACATACCTCAGAAGCCGATTTTCCTTCACCCATCCTCCGGACAAACCATGCAGATCCCTTGTTAAAAATCTTCTTGACTTTCCCGTCTTTAATTCCGGTTTTTACTCCCACTCCTTTTCAGTTCACGCGGTAAGATTATGGAACTCACTACCGTCAAATATAAGAAATTCCGAAACTTTGTTGATATTCAAGAAACGTCTTAGAGATAACTACTTTGCATCCTGTTAATTTATATATATATATATATATATATATATATATATATATATATTATTTTTATATTTTTTATTTATATATATATATATATATATATATATATATATATATATATATATATCATATGTAACTATCGTATTTATTATTATTATTATTTATTGATTTCTTTTATTTTTATTTATTGTTTTATTTTATATAATTTCCGTAACATTGTGTATATTATTTATTTTTAGTAGTACTAATGTATGCACTAAGTTTGCAATTTAAATATAATTTCCTTTATGGGTCTACTGGAAGATATTTCAGCGAATTTGGAATAAGTAGAACCTTTGTACGTAATTACTATAAGACTGCTTCTGTACCTTAATGTGTGTACATAAAATAAATAAAAAAAAAATCTTCTTAGCCGCTGACGGATATGCAATTCTTCTCCTGTGTTTATTTTGTGTTGAAATAAGCCAGTCTTTCCTATCGTTTGATGAGAATACATCGGCGTACTTGAGTAACAACTTCTTCGCCTTGACCATTTCGTTCGGAGAGAGAACGCTGCGACAGTCTTCCAAAAGTGTGGTCACTCCCGTTTGTGAATCCTTGCTGGGGGTCCCCCTCGATAGATATTGGCACCGACGTAAGAAATCCACTTCCTCACAAGTATCAACCAGTGTGCCTTTTTCTATAATCTGATCCTGGTCACAAAGGTTCAGCACACGTACTCCTCAGATGTCAGTGGTTCTGACCAAGGTTCGAGCTACTTTCCATGGAAAGTCATTGTTTACCCTTTCCACAAGTACACAACGATGAGCTTGCCCAGGGTTCCGAGGAAGACTAACCGGCACAATCGTTTCCGATCTCGGCGGAAGAACAATCTTCTTAATGCTGTACACGTTCCCTGGTGACGCATCTTCCATAAAAAGTTCCTCCTGTCCACATTTCAAAACACCTTGCTTAACGTCGATCTCACAACAATTGTTCCTCATAAAGTCTAGACCCAGGATGCTGTCGTCCATTATCGGCCACGATGACATTATGCAGGTAGATTATGTTGCCTAGCTTCAACTCCATCTCCTTCTCTCCACGGACAGGTATACGCTGACCGGTGGCTGTTACCAAATTAATGCGTTCTCGGTTGTATGCGGAGTCCCCAAGGAACTGACTTATAAGTTGGGAACTAACAACCGTACGAGGGCTCCAGTGTCTATGGTCAGTTTACACGGCATTCCGTTGACCTTGTCCTTGATGATTAGACTGTTCCCATCATGGGTTTGTGTGATCGAGATCCTTGGAGCTCTTTTAACATCAGCCAGCACCCACCCCGCAGTTCTGGCTTTTAATCGTTTCCCTGCTGCTGCTGGATGGTGCTGTTGGCTGCACTACCCTCCTGAGATCGTTGACTTTCCCTTTCCTGGGTTCGCTTAGGGCCGCTGGATCGAAGATGGCCCCTTTCCCCACAGCCATAGCACCTAGGGCTGTATCCTTTGTTGCTGTGGCGAACTGTAGCTGCTGCAACTACCCTGACGCGATGGAAACGATGATCCTGCCGCACGGCTTCCACCTCCAGTGCATGGGCCAAGGCGTCCTTAAGCGTCTCGTGCTGCCCGAGCCTCACAGCAGCTCTGACTTCAGTCGCGGATGCCATCGATGAATGTCTGCACCAGGTTCCCTTCAATGAGCGCAGGTACAGACCGGTATGCTTTTCGCACCAGCTTCTCCACCTCTAGAGCCCACTGCTGCAGGTTTTCGTTGATGCGCTGCACGCGATCTTTAAGCTGCGCACAAAAGACGTGTTCCAAGTGAGCGTCGCCATATCTCGCATCCAATTCCTCAAGGAGCTGCTCATAAGTCCCTTCCTCACCGAGAGCTTCCAGAAGAGTTAAGGCCTGGTCACGCAGGCCTAGCGTGAGAGCAGTCATGGCCTGACTTTTATTCCAGCCGTTCGCTTTCATGACAGCCTCGAACTGGATTTTGTAGGCCGACCAGGAAGAAGTACCATCGAACGGCGGCACTTTGAACCCACGTAGCGAAGGTGTTCACTCCATCCCCTAGTTTGAGGTCGTCCAGCGTTTTCTTCACGACAGCCATCACGTTGTCTACCCGATTGTTCACTTGGTCGATTCGGGTTTCAGATTTCTCGATTCGGGTTTCAGCTTCCGAAAGGCGGTTGTCATGTTGAGCAACCTTATCCTTCATCTCCTTCCCGAAGGTAGCGTGAAGGTCCTTCACGAGGAGCATCTGCTCTTCCAATCGACGCGCCTGTTCCTCTTGTCCGCCCCGCAGCTGCTCTTCCAATCGACGTGCCTGTTCCTCTTGTCCACCCCGCAGCTGCTCTTCCAATCAGCGTACCTGTTCCGCCTACTGCTGGGCCTGTACCTCCTTCTGCTCTTTCAACAAACGGGCCTGTTCCTCCTGTCAACGGGCCTGTTCCTCCTGTCGGCGGGCCTGCTCCTGCAACATCACCATCAGAGCACCTAAGTCAGGTGCTGCAGATGTAGGAGCTACTGATGGGCCTGCAGCCGGTGGCTGGCCCTCCGACGTCTGCAGCGTTGCACCACCAAATCTTCTTTGGTCCGTCTCCTGCTGGCGTTGACTTCGGGTACGGACACCCTCCGTTTCCTCCTTAGGTAAAATCGGCATGATTTTATCCCACTTTTGACACCAATTGTTACGAGCTTGAGGTTCGTGATAGTAAAAACTGCCGATTGAATTACTAAAATTTACACTTTAATTTTCTTTACACCAATTAAAACTTAAAACACTAATAATTAATCACACTGATTCACTTTATTTCGCTCCGAAGCTTTGCCTGTCTCGCCAAATTCAATACTGCCCCGATCGCGTATTGCAGAGCCTTTAAATTCACCTTTTTCACCGAAAGATCCAGAATATTCAAGTAAATACACGCGCCAACCGACCAGGCGCCGAAAGTTCGAGGGTAGGGCTTCTAGAAAGCTTAGTTCTTCAATTCGATACTAGATGGCGCTGTTGGTTGAAAGATTAGTCATGTCATTTTCTGGAAAGCTCTCCTCACTTCCCCCATGCCTTCACTTAGGAGCGCAACAGTAGGATAAAATTTAAAATAAAAACTGCATTAAATTATATACTTTTTTTAATATTCAACTATGCGAAATAAATTAAATGTTTCTTTTTTAGCCTTTATACAAGTTTAAGGTTTTTAAATTTCTTAAATATTACCGAGCTTTTTTTCAAGCCTCGTTAGAAACTGCTTAATTTCATCAATTTCTGAAGATATTTGATCCAATTTAACGTAAATTTTTTCCACTGGCGATTTGGAAGCATCAGTAAATGTACACATTTGACATTTCAATTCTGTCATGTCGTCGTCTAAATTATTAAAGCGTTTAATAATTTCTTCATGTTGTAGTTTTATTTTACCAGGTGTGTTTTCTATTTTATCTAATTCAGGTCGCTCCTTTTGTTGTTCATCTTTTTTTGTTATAATTTCATACATTTTATTTAATTTTCTATTAAACATTTTCATTCCTAATGCACCTTCTATTTGTTTTTGCTGTGCCTGAGCTATATTCATAATTGCATCTCGTATACGATTTGGCATAACTTTGTTATTTTTCCACTGTGGTTTTCCAGGGTACAATACAATTATCCCAATAACTTTTTTTTTGTTTCTTATTCGCTTAATTACTTTCTCTGGTAATATTTTACTAAAAAGTTTATTATAAAAGAGGCTGTCCAATATGCTGAGAAATTCCACTTGTTTTGCTAGCCTCCTTACGTTACCTAATATTTCCAAATCGTTGATATCATTGACTGCAACACCTACTAGTAAATTCATAAGTACAATCCCAGCCAAGATAAGAAATATTAAAAAAATTACTCTAACTATAGTACGAGAAGTAGCGAGTTCTTTTGATTGATCTTCTTCAAACAGCGCTTCGTACTCAAATTCAGATGTCAACATAACCATAGTTTTGACAAATGCCGCCCAGGGGTCTTCAAAAGGTATATGAGAATGAAATTGTATCATAAAGCTCAGAGTAAATCCAATTATTAAAAACGCAAATGTGAATAAAATCTGAAACAGGTATGCAATATGCGTTATGCCTTTTACATATCTAGATTAATTAACGACATTTTTTTATGTTTTGATTTTATAAATTTGCTTACCCTTATAACATTTGAAGCGACTTTTCCAAACATTAAGACATAGTATCCCACATTCGGGAATCTAGACAGTAAAAACATTAGTTCCAACCATGATAATAACAAAGCTAATGTGGCAACATGTCGTAGCCATTCCGATAAGAACCAAGGCGTTACCAATATTGCCGGGGGTAAAATTGTTGCAAACCCTATTGAGCCAAATTTCACCCATGTTTCTACTTGTAGAAAATATTTGTTACTTTTTACATTCATGTAAAGCAATTCCTGGAAAAATAATAATTCAGTAAATATAAAATAATCAAGCAATTTTATATGCCCACGACACAAAACAATTGCTAAAGCTATCTTATCTGCTTCAGTTTTGTCACCAATAGTTGCTATTTTTCTCATCACACCTGAGCAATTGACCTACTTACTTAATAATAATATTAGGGGAAAAAGTATGAAATTGTCATTTTATATTAAAGTAAATCTTTTAATCGAAGTAGTTACCCTTAATATAATTGCCTTTAATATAATTATATATATTTCTGATTGTGCATGTTTTTGCGATAGAAATCTACAAATTTTATTATGGCATTTTGTACTGCAACCTAGGACTAAACTTTTTTTTCCATGTGGGACATTTCCGAATTCTGGTTAAACGGTAATCGATTTGGGCTAGGTGTGGCGATAACGGAGAATGACTTATAGTTTCTATCTGCTGTTAATGATGCACCAGATTTTTCACTTTTTATGCTTGCAATCATCGTTGGGAACTAACTTTTTTTTTGTTAAACTGGTGTTGCAATTCTGTCTAAAAATCTCTTCATTTCTATAAATGTTAATTAAAACTAGGTAAACTCCTCTATGCACATCAATTAATTTATATATATCAATTAATTAATAATCCCTCCAGAATTGATATTACAAGCTGTATATTCTGTGTTAGAACCATTATGTGTGTCAGAATTTGTATTTGAAAATTATTCTAATTATTAAGGTCTTCATTTTTAACACAATTAATAAAACGATAAACAATCAAACAATACTATGTCATAAAATTCTTGAATTTAGAATGTTATAGTTTTATGTAAAATGTTTTAATTACAAATCTTGGACTAAGCAGTTAAATTTTAATTCAGAGTTGCCACTTCATTAAAACAGCAACTGCATCGTTTAACCAGTATTATTAGTTTGCAATATACGCACATACGTGCACAAATATTGCCAGAAAAGTGTTTGTGTTTTATTTAAAGTTACTGTTTTACCACTTTTTAACCATTTGTTAAACTTGGAATAGTTTTGTGTGTTCTGTAAAAATAAATAAATTGATATCTATTATGTGTATTTTATTATATGAATATCTTATTTATATATTCAGTGTGTGCTTTTTGTTGTAGATGAACGCATCTGCGTTTTGATTCGTAATCGAGGAATGATGTTGATGTCTATGAGCCACAGCAACCACTTACCATCAGGTGGACTGTGAGCTCGTTTGTCAACCTATCCTATAGAAAAAGCTGAAATTAATTATTAGATAATTCACGATACAAATGATTTTTCAATATTTTTATTACTGTATCTAAAAAACTAACATAATGGAACATTAAAAATCATGGTAAGTTTTAAGCACTTTTTAAACCACGATTTTAAATTCATTGATATTATTGTTTTATAATATAATTTTTATTACTGTGGTCTGCAAAAAATTATTGAAATATTTTTTATGGGATAAGGGTGACAAACGAGCACACAGTCCACGTGATGGTAAGTGGTTACTGCGGCCCATAGACATCTACATCTATCCTCGATTACGAATCAAAACGCAGATGCGTTCATCGCGATCATAAGTATTTTAAATACAGGACATTTAATACCTAACTTTTTTTATAGGATAGGTTGACAAACAAGCACGCAGTCCACCTGATGGTAAGTGGTTGCTGTGGCCCATAGACATCTACATCTGTCCTCGATTACGAACCAAAATGCATGTGCGTTGTTACCCGTGAAGACTAAGCCGGAATGCCTCGTTTCCAGTAAAAAGAGTCTCTGGTTCTCTTTACTCACCATACGCAATACAGCAGCTTTAAGCTACTATTTTACGCTGGTACTCTGTGAGAACGTGGTCCTTCCCCAGTCGAGCCGACCCATTCGTGCTACAACTATACCGGTAATATAGCTGCAGCGTGGCTCTACCACGTATAAAAATAACACTATGAAATTTTCATTTTAACTTACTTAACTTTACATTGGTTTATTGTCAATAAAAATTCATATTTTCTTGTTAAGCTATTACTTTTTTCCCTTTTATAAGATACAATTTTAATAAGTTAAATGTATTTAATAATAGTTCTTCGCGTATATTTTAACTTTTTTATAATCCCGACGTTTCGAGTACTTTACAGCACCAATGGTCACGGGGAGACTGAGATGTTCACCGTCCAGATGCCATAGTTAACCGCGTTTAGAACACATTAAACTTTTTAATTTTTGTTCCGATCTACATAGTATGAACGCTTAGTATCTTGTGTCTTGCATTTGTATGCTTGGGGTTTATTATTATTAATTATATAGGATCCCAAGCAGATGGTAGCGCCCAGCCATCTTCTCTATTGAAATTAGGATGCTTTTTGATTTTAATAGCCTCGCAAATCGCAGGATCACCCCCGTCTCTACATCAGATTTGATAGACCACAAATTCTCGCTAAAGAACACCGATTCCTTTCGACACAAAAATGTTGCATCTGAACAAATTAATTTCATAATCTATATTCCATGACACGATATGGCGTCTTAGGAATAATTTGTTTTAAATATATAATACTTTTTTATTGATTAAGTATCTTATTAATCGATGAAAAGTAGTACACACGACGGCATATTTTTATCAAGAGATTTTTTTTAAATCAACACAACATATGACAAGTCTACAAGCGCATAGCGAGTTACTGATTAAAGTGCGGTGTAAGCACCGCAGTTGAATGGAACAGAGTAGCTGAATGCAGTGTCGCCTTTAGTACGTAGTACATAATAGCTCAATGGATGCAATCTAAAACATAACTTGTACTTTTGTTCATTTTAATATACAATGTAGTAATTTATTTTCGGTTTTATATTGTTTGAACATTGTAACCATAAGCTTTTAACTACTATAATTCATTATTTTACGATACGTATAGTACGGATAGTATTTACGAAAATATTTACTTCGCTTAATACGATTGTAAAACTCCTATTATGTACAAAATTAATTAATAAATTTTATGTTGTGATCATTTTGAGCCTCATTCCATGACCGAAAATGATGTACTCGTACCTAAATATTACACGAGTCTATATGATATTTGTAAAAAATGTGAGAAAAAGTTTTGGACTAGGTCAATGAGACGTAACTATGAATGAAAGATATTGATAGAAATATGTAAGAGTAAAGTGCAACACAGGTAGTAAAAATCATCAGAGGTTAGCACATATAATCAGCTTGATCAGCTGAGAGTTTGGAAAACCTAATATGCGATTAATTTTTAAGGTTTTTTGGATATTATAAAAAAGCGAGATGAGAATTTATTATAAATTTTGTATGAATATTGTCCATAATATTGATCATGTATGTGTGCTAACCGTGTACGTGAAAGAAATGATACAAATATGTCACGAATAGCTTAAATTCTAGGTATCGATAAAAATGGAAAATAAATAGTGATTAACTAATAATGGAGTAAATATATGAAAAAAATTTAAATGTAAAATAACATGAAAATTAAAAGAATATTTTATATATTATTATTGTCCTGACTAGATAAGTGGTAGGCATAGTAACAAAATGATTAAGGATACGAATAAACAATATTGTTAATTTTCATAAAAATAAAAACATAATTTTATGTTATACATAATAATGCCTGATTATGTTAACCATACTACTGAGACTATGCATTTTTACATGCTAGATATGTGTTAGATTATATTTGTAATAACGATATTAATATTGTTTAGAATAATTTTAAGGGTTTATTTTAAGGATTGATAAAGAAATATAGATAGCACATTTTTTAATTTTTGTCGATGTGTGGTGTAGTGTAGTGACACCCCCATATTAATATATATTATTGTTGAGGAAGAATAATTAGGCAGTATAATTAAATTTATAACAAGAGTAACAAGTCTCCTTTTCATTAACACCTTTAAAACTTTACACAACACTCACCTGACAAAGAACCAAGAAAATCGTGGCATAAACTATGTATCCCCAAATATTTGGATTTAACCAAAAAGGCGCAATTCTTTCCGTATCCTTGTAAAAGAATACAGAAACAATAAATAAGGTTAAAGATGAAACAAATAAAGAATAGAAAGCGATAATTGTGTAAAAGAACGGCAAAAGCGCCTTCCATTTTAAGTAAAGAAAACTTTCTAGTAATGGATGGACAAGTAGCCTTTTTTGCCCATATCTATTCCCTGTTTTAAGGAGAGCTTCGATCACTTTCATTTGTTCTATTTCACAAGTGGTTGGCATTAGAATTCTGTAGTCAATCTTGATCTCACAACTAGATTCCTGGAAACTAAGACAGTTGGTTGAAATATAAGAATTAAATATGCCTTCCAAAAACTCTGTAGGTTTCGAAAGGTTATTAATTATCATGTCAATAGCCGTTCTTCTGTATTTTTTCGGACCTTCAGTATATCCAGATAAATCTGCACCCTCTTGAAGTAAACGATTTATAACCTCACGACTGCCATGGTGACTGGCACTATGAAGAGGAAACCATCCCATGCTGTTTACTTCATGAATAGTTGTTTTATCAAACCTTAGTATAACTTTAGCTACTTCTACGTGGTTTTTCACAGCAGCTATATGTAAAGGAGTGGAAGATTGCTCAGGGTTGCTTGTGGTTCTCAGACGCACATCCGCATTCTTTGATAAAAGAAGTTTTACACATTGAACGTGATTATTGAAAACAGCGAAATGTATAGGCCCGTATCCTCGTCTATCATTAGCAGTTAAGGAATTGATCATAACTTGAGTAATATCATCATTGAACTCCAGAAGAGTCTTTAGTATTTCTAACGAGCCATTTTCTGCTGCAACATGAAAAACGTTGACATCACCTGGCAATGTTATTTTTATTGAAGCGCCCTCTTGAAGCATAGTAACAACACACTCATTATGCCCACGTGTAATAGATTTAAATAGTGGCGTTTCTCCTTTTTCATTTTGACAATCTATAAAGTCTTTTTGTTTAGCTACGCTGAGGATTTCTGTTAATACGTCTAAATTTCCAAGGGCAGCCGCTGAGTGAATTGGCGTTTCTCCATCATTTGCCTGTAAGTGTTTTTAAAATTTGATTATTTTAGTTAACATAAATATTTAGTAGTAATTAATAGTTATCTGATTAACGTTGTTTCACAAATAAATTATAGAAAAATAACAAGTAAAAAAAATATTGGGACATTACCTTCATAGTTACATCAGCGCCAGCCTCCAGTGCTATGCAAACGCCAGGTACCCAGGCTGCTTCTACCGCTGCCTGAAGAACAGTGTGTCCTTCTTTGTCTTTTACGTCTACCATAGCCATAAACGGATCTGCATCTTTGTAACTATAATTAGCCAAAATCTAAAAATGTGATATTAAATACCTATCATCAATAAACAAGAAAAGTGCGATAGCGTAGTGATTGCGGCAAATCTTTCAAATACTCGGAGCAGATGATAAAATCCAGCTCAGGCCTGCTGTAAGCTAATAAATAAGAAGATTCCAACATATTACCTAGATAATTTATTTTACATAATACATCTGCATTGACAGTGTAGTGGCAGTGTAATGATATCTAATACCCAATATCATCCCGTGGGTGTCATAAGAGGTGATTGAGGGAAACAAATTAATATGGAAAAAGGCAGCATCGTCTTCCTGATATAAAAGTGATAAAAGCTGCAATTCTTAAACTACCTAGCAAGGCTATATATATATATATATATATATATATATATATATATATATATATATATATAAGCTAAGGCTATGATCAACATAAGACAATTTATGGAGGAGGAATATTTTCAGCAGTTCTTTTGATTTTGAAGGGTGTAAAGTGTTTAGGGTGTAAATCTTAAACAAATCAAACATTCTCTTATACGTAATAAGTACATAAATTTAATGAAAAATCCTAGCTAAAAATCGCTTGTTGACTCGAATTAGAAATTATTATCAATCAAATCGACTATTTTTTTTAAATAACTTACGTACCTGCAAAGGTTCTTCCAATTCCTTCTTAACACATACATGTAAAGGTGTTTTTCCGGCTGAATTAAGACATCTAACAGATGCACCGTATTGCAGTAGTACATTTATGCTTTCAATGCTTTCTAGTTCAACAGCTGTATGTAAAGGTGTGTCTAATTTATTAAGACCATTAGGTTTCATTGTATTTGGAGTAATACCAGTTTTAAGCAACATTTGAAGTATTGAGGTAAAACTAAAACATATAGAAATTGTTTGAATGTTTAGTTACAGAAAATATAATCGTAGTTTTTTTTTATAAAATACAAAAATCATGACCAATAATAAGCAGTTAATACTTTATTATCATTGTGCTTATCGCTCAAAACAAGACGAAGAAGCAAAAGTAAGACAAAAACAAAATCTTACTGTTTTGCATTTATTTGCTGATCGAAATAATATCCTAATCCAGTAACGTCAAGTGCATTTCGTCCAGCTTCATCACATATATTGGGGTCTGCACCGGCAGCTAGTAATAAGCGTGTGCAATGTACACGAACGCAGGACGTTGCTACATGCAGTGGTGTCCAGCCCGGTTGCAGAAGGGGCAACTGTGAAATTAACTCCTTTTTGTACGTACTTGTAATTACTCTAGCATACTATTCAACAAAAATCTGCACACAAAAAATATTTCTTAACTATAGTAAAATATAAAAATGAAATAAAAAGTGAAAAATAAATTTAATATCTGTGATAGCAGCGTTTAAGGTGTGAGACGTCTGATATTGCCTGCCAAACGTGACAATTAAGGCAAATCATATAACGGAAGAGAGTCATGAACCGCATCGGATTTTTGCGGGATGATAAGGAAGTTAGTTTAGTAAGGTTGATGAAGATGTATGATAACACAAAAAAGAATAAATCGATTCGATTGATTCTTTTTTGTGAGATTATCGTATTTAAATTTGAAGGAAAATATCTACGTGATGTAGCTATACAGGTGACATTTAAATTACTTACTATCTTGAGCTTGCCCACTCAATAGTTTTTGTTGTTAGTCATAATGTGTACCGAAAAATTAAAATTTCAACTTCAGAAAATATTAAATTATCGTGGAATTTTCCCAGTTTTTTTTAACTGGGATTTTATTTTTATCAAGTCTTTTCTGTTAAAATTAATAGTAAGCTTGGTTTTTATCTCGATGGTTAAATGAATAAAAGCAGAATTTCAGAATAGCCAAACGCTGTCTACAAGCATTTTTCCAATAAAATATATTGTTACGAGCTTGAGGTTCGTGACAATAAAAATTGCCGATAGAATTACCTAAATTAACACTGGTATTTTCTTTACACAAATTAAAACTTAAAACACTAATAATTAAGCACACTGATTCGCTTTATTCCGCTCCGAAGCTTCGCTTGTCTCGCCGAATTCAATACTGCCCCGATCGCATCTTGCAGCGCCTACTTATTTAAATTAGCAAATAAATATCCAGAATGTTCAAGTAAACACGCGCAAGGTACCGAGCGTTCGAGTTTCGACTAGGCGCTGTCGGTTGAAAGATTTGTGATGTCATTTTCTGAAAAGCTCCCCTCGCTCTCGTTCCTGACACTAGATGGCGCTAGTGTATGACGTTGAGCGCGTAACACTGCCCTCCCTAAGACATGCTCGTCCCGAGCATTATCGGCCCCATAATAACGCGCCAAGCGATCCACATGGACGATCTTAGGAGTCCCTCTTGCGCCTTTCTGTAACGGCTCCGCAATGTCAAGGGATGTCCTATCCCGTGGTGCACCAACATTGTACAATTTCGATGCTCCTCTACTCCGTGTCTGAGATCCCCTCACAGCCGCACAACTTGTACATGTACGACACCAATCCTCGACATCGTCACGATAATGGACCCAGTAAAACTGTTCTCGGACCTTCAGTAGAGTTCGTTTAACTCCCAGATGGACTCTTGAACGACCATTATGGCACAGCTGTAGAACATTCGGCACTTTAGCTTTAGGGACAACCATTTGCAAACGACAGCTGTCTCCTCGACCATTGTCCCATTTACGGCACAGGACTCCATCCTGAATCAGCAAGCTGCCCCATTGGGCCCAATAGCTTTTCGTGGTTGAACTCATCGCTGAGACGTCCCTCCACTTAGGCTTGGTAGCACGGGCCTTCATCCATCCCAGAATCGGCTTGATGTCTGGATCTTCCTGCTGTGCATATCGTAGGCTGTCATTCCACCCGTTGCTGACGTGGTCTGTCCTGAGCATCCTCACGGATACCACTTCCTTATTCTCTTGCCTACTACAATGGTTGCAATCTTCAGGACAAGGTTTTCTTGACGATGCATCTGCGTTGCCGTGAGATTTCCCGCTGCGATGTCTGATAGTAAAGTCGTATCCCGGCTGCTGCTGGGCGGTGATGTTAGTCGCACTTCCCTTCTGAGATCATTCACCTTCCCTTTCTAGGGTTCGCTTAGGGCAGGTGGATCGAAGATGGCCCTTTTCCCCACAGCCATAGCACCTAGGGCTGTATCCTTTATTATGGTTGCGAACCGTAACTGCTGCAACCTCCCTAGCGCGAGGGGAACGACGATCCGGCCACCGCCAGGCGGTGCCGTTAGCTGCACTACCCTCTCGAGATCGATCAACTCTCCTTTCTACAGTTCGCTTATGGCAGCTGGAGTGAAGATGGCCCTTTTCCTCACAGCCATAGCACCTAGGGCTGTATCCTCTGTTGCGGTCGCGAACTGTAGCTGCTGCAACCTCCCTGATGCGATGGGAACGATGATCGTGCCGCACGGCTTCCACCTCCAGTGCACGGGCCAAGGCGTCCTTAAGCGTCTCGTGGTGCCCGAGCCTCACAGCAGCTCTGACTTCCAGGTCGCGGATGCCGTCGATGAATGTCTGTACCAGGTTCCCTTCAATGAGCGCAGGTACAGACCGGTATGCTTTTCGAACCATCTTCTCCACCTCAAGGGCCCACTGCTGCAGGTTTCCGTTGCTGCGTTGCACGCGATCTTTAAGCTGCGCGCGAAAGACGTGTTCCAGGTGAGCGTCAAAATATCTCGCCTCCGATGCCTCAAGGAGCTGCTCGTAGGTAACTTTCTTACCGAGAGCTTCCAACAAGGTTAAGGCTTGGTCGCGCAGGCCTAAGGTGAGTGCAGTCATGGCCTGCCTTTTTTTCCAGCCGTTTGCCACCATGACGGCCTCGAACTGGATTTTGTAGGCCGACCAGGAAGAAGTCCCGTCGAACGGCGGCACTTTGAATCCACGTAGCGAAGGTGCTGTAGTTCCATCCCCAAGTTTGAGTTCGTCTAGTGATTTCTTCATGTCCGCCATTACGTTGTCAACCCGATTGTTTACTTGGTCGATTCGGGTTTCAGCTTTCTCGATTCGGTTTCCAGCTTTCGCGATTTGGGTTTCAGCTTCCGACAGGCGGTTGTCATGCTGAGCAACCCTATCCTTCACCTCCTTTATCTCCTTCCCGAAGGTAGTGTGAAGGTCCTTCATGAGGAGCATCTGCTCTTCCAACCGACGGGCCTGTTCCTCTTGTCCGCCCCGCAGCTGCTCTTCCAATCGGCATGCCTGTTCCGCCTGCTGGCGAGCCTGCTCCTCATGGTGGCGAGCCTGCTCCTGCAGCATCACCATCAGAGCACCTAAGTCAGGTGCTGCAGATGTAGGAGCTACCGACGGGCCTGCAGCTGGTGGCTGGCCCTCCGACGTCTGTGGCGTTGCACCACCAAATCTTCGTTGGTCCGTCTCCTGCTGGCGTTGACTTCGGGTACGGACACCCTCCGTTTCCTCCTTACGTAAAATCGTCATGATTTAATCCTACTTCTGACACCAATCGTTACGAGCTTGAGGTTCGTGACAATAAAAATTGCCGATAGAATTACCTAAATTAACACTGTAATTTTCTTTACACAAATTAAAACTTAAAACACTAATAATTAAGCACACTGATTCACTTTATTCCGCTCCGAAGCTTCGCTTGTCTCGCCGAATTCAATACTGCCCCGATCGCATCTTGCAGCGCCTATTTATTTAAATTAGCAAAAAAATATGCAGAATGTTCAAGTAAACACGCGCAAGGTACCGAGCGTTCGAGTTTCGACTAGGCGCTGTTGGTTGAAAGATTTGTGATGTCATTTTCTGCAGAGTTCCCCTCGCTCTCGTTCCTGACACTAGATGGCGCTAGTGTATGACGTTGAGCGCGTAACAATATATTAAAGGATTATTATAATTATACTCACCGTGCATTTAATCTCACGACAATCGTGGTCTATATTGTCTTTCCAAGTCTTGGGTAAAGGCATTATAATTTCTCCGAGATCACAACGAACATTTGCCATAGCCTTGGTCAGTTGGCAGATTTTTTTAAGATCCTCTTCAGCATCTGCCAACATGTCGTTGTCAACACGATCTTGCATTTCTGAAAAGTAAGAAATCGTAACAAATACTTTATGTACAACTCAAAAAAAGCTTAATTTTATCCCAATCTAGGGAAATATTCATAAGATCATGTTGCTTTAAAAGCTTTCTTACATTTAGGCGTTACGCAAATTTAGGTATTTTACGCTCCGAGTGGGAGAGGACCTACGCTAGCAACACTTTATACATATCTCTTCAATCGCTCGCACTACGTTACTGTGAGTGTAGCGAGTAAACCATCTTGATCTCCCATTATCCAAGTTTTCTTAGAGTGGAGTGTGTCATTTTTATGTTATCTAATTAATTTATTATAATCTATTTGATATATTTTTCATTAATTATGAACCTTAGTTTTGAAATAAGTACACATAAATATTTTAATTGTTTTACACTTATCAATTGTCAACCGATGTTGGTTAATAATCGTTTATATCTACTAACGGTAGCATAGTGGTATAAATAAGTTAATAGTACTGTTGCGTAAATAAGTCAACTAGCGCCATCTAGTGTCAGCGAGGGGAGCTTTGCAGAAAATGACATCACAAATCTTTCGACCGACAGCGCCACCCGAAGAACTAAGTTTCTGGAAAATCTACACTCGAATACTCGTTGCCTGGCGCGCATTTACTTGAATGTTCGGGACGCTTCTTTGCTAATTATATAAATAGGCGCTGCAAGATGCGATCGGGCAGAGTTGAACTCGGCGACACAAGCGAAGCTTCGGAACGGAATTAAGTGAATTAGTGTGTTTGATTACTAGTGTTTTAAGTTTTAATTTGTTTAAAGTAAATTAAAGTGATAATTTAGGTAATTCTATCGGCAATTTTTATTGTCACGAACCTCAAGCTCGTAACAATTGGTGTCAGAAGTGGGATAAAATCATGCCGATTTTATCTAAGGAGAAAACGGAGGGTGTCCGTACCCGAAGTCAACGCCAGCAGGAGACGGACCAAAGAAGATTTGGTGGTGCAACGCCGCAGACGTAGGAGGGCCAGCCGCCGGCTGCAGGCCCGTCAGCAGCTCCTACAGCTGCAGCACCTGATTTAGGTGCTATGATGTTGATGTTGCAGGAACAGGTCCGTCAGTTGAAAGAGCAGCTGCAGAGCGGACAAGAGGAACAGGCCCGCCGACAGGAGGAACAGGCCCGTCGGTTGGAAGATCAGCAGATGGAACAGGCTCGTCGGTCGGAAGAGCAGATGCTCCTCATGAAGGACCTTCACTCTACCTTTGGGAAAGAGATAAGGGACGTGAAGGATAGGGTTGCTCAACACGACTACCGCCTGTCGGAAGCTGAAACCCGAATCGAAGAACAAGAAACACGAATCAACCATGTGAACAATCGGGTTGACAACGTGATGGCTTGATGACTGACGTGAAGAAAATGCTAAACGAGCTCAAACTTGGGGATGGAACTACAGCTCCCGTAGTAGCTGCAGCACCTTCGCTACGTGGATTCAAAGTGCCGCCGTACGACGGGACCTCGTCCTGGTCGGCCTACAAAATCCAGTTCGAGGCCGTCATGGAGGCGAACGGCTGGAATAAAAGCCAAGCCATCACTGCACTCACCCTAGGCCTGCGCGACCAAGCCTTAACTGTGTTGGAAGCTCTCGGTAAGAAAGTGACCTATGAGCAGCTTCTTGAGGCCTTGGAAGCGAGATATGGCGACGCTCATTTGGAACACGTCTTTCGCGCGCAGCTTAAAGATCGCGTGCAGCGCAGCAACGAAAACCCGCAGCAGTGGGCCCTTGAGGTGGAGAAGATGGTTCGAAAAGCATACCAGTCTGTACCTGCGCTCATTGAAGGGAACCTGGTTCAGACATTCATCGACGGCATCCGCGACCTTGAAGTCAGAGCTGCTGTGAGACTCGGGCACCACGACACGCTTAAGAACGCCTCATGCACTGGAGGTGGAAGCCGTGCGGCAGGATAATCGTTCCCATCGCATCAGGGAGGTTGCAGCAGCTACAGTTCGCGACCGCAACAGAGGATACAGCCCTAGGTGCTATGGCTGTGGGGAAAAGGGCCATCTTCGATCCAGCTGCCCTAAGCGAACCCTAGAAAGGGAAGGTGAACGATCTCAGGGGGTAGTGCGGCCAACAGCACCGCCCAGCAGCAGCAGGGAAACGAGGAAAATCCAGAACTGCGGGGCGGGTGCTGGCTGATGTTAAAAGAGCCCCAAGGATCTTGATCTCACAAACCCATGATGGGAACAGCCTAATCATCAAGGGCGAGGTCAACGGAATGCCGTGTAAACTGACCATAGACACTGGAGCCTCTCGTACGGTTGTTAGTTCCCAACTTATAAGTCAGTTCCTTGGGGACTCCGCATACAACCGAGAACGCATTAATTTGGTAACAGCCACCGGTCAGCGTATACCCGTCCGTGGAGAGAAGGAGATGGAGTTGAAGCTAGGTAACGTGATCTACCTGCATAATGTCATCGCGGCTGATATACTGGACGACTGCATCCTAGGCCTAGACTTTATGAGGAATAATTGTTGTGTGATTGACGGTAAGCAAGGTGTTTTGAAATGTGGACAGGAGGAACTTTTTATGGAAGATGCGTTACCAGGGAACGTGTACAATATGAAGAAGATTGTTCTTCCGCCGAGGTCGGAAACAATTGTTCCGGTTAGTCTTCCTCGAAACGCTGGGCAAGCTCACCGTTGTGTACTTGTGGAAAGGGTAAACAATGACCTTCCATGGAAAGTAGCTCGAACCTTGGTCAGGACCACTGACATCTCAGGAGTACGTGTGCTGAACCTTTGCGACCGGGAACAGATTATAGAAAAAGGCATACTGATTGGTACTTGTGAGGAAGTGGATTGGTTACGTCGGTGCCAATACATATCGAGTGGGACCTCCAGCAAGGATGCAGAAACGAGAGTGACCACACTTTTGGAAGACTGTCGCAGTGTTCTCTCCCCAAACGAATTGGTCAAGGCGAAGAAGTTGTTACTCAAGTACGCCGATGTATTCTCATCAAACGATGCTAACATAGGAAAGACTGGCTTAGTTCAACACAAAATAAACACAGGAGAAGAATTGCCTATCCGTCAGCGGCCAAGAAGATTGCCGGGAGCACGTGAAAAGGAAGTGGAAACCATGATTGAAGGAATGGTGAAGGATGGTGTTATTGAACCTTCCTCTAGTCCATGGTGTTCACCAGTGGTGCTGGTGAAGAAGAATGGCAGCATGCGGTTTTGTGTTGACTACCGCCGTCTGAAATACGTTACGAAGAAGGACAGCTATCCCTTGCCAAGAATTGATGACACGCTGGACATGCTTACAGGAGTAAAGTGGTTTAGCACGCTGGATCTAAAAAGTGGCTACTGGCAAGTTGAAATTGACCCTAAGGACAAAGGAGAAAACTGCGTTCTCGACGGGAAAGGGTCTGTGGCAATTTAAAGTAATGCTATCCATTGCCAAGTATTGATGACACGCTGGACATGCTTACAGGAGTAAAGTGGTTTAGCACGCTGGATCTAAAAAGTGGCTACTGGCAAGTTGAAATTGACCCTAAGGACAAGGAGAAAACTGCGTTCTCGACGGGAAAGGGTCTGTGGCAATTTAAAGTAATGCCGTTTGGGTTGTGCAATGCTCCAGCAACGTTTGAAAGGCTGATGGAACTTGTACTTACCGGGCTAATTGGCGATGCCTGTCTGGTCTACTTGGATGACATCATCATCGTAGGCCGTACGTTTGAGAAACACCTTCAAAACCTAGAACGCGTGCTCATGAAGATTCAGAGTGCCAACCTCAATTTGAGCCAAAAGAAATGTTCACTATTCCAACGGTAAGTTAACTTTTTGGGGTTTGTAGTATCGGAAGAAGGTATCCGCACAGATCCAAAGAAAATCGCCGCTGTCAAGGATTGGCCGGTTCCAAAAGACAAGACGCAGGTTAGAGCATTTTTTGGGTTTGTGCTCCTATTACCGGCGATTTGTGAAAAACTTTGCAGATATAGCCAAACCTCTGCACAAGTTAACCGAGGAGAGGCGACATTTCTGCTGGGATGAAAGTTGCAATATCGCATTCCAGGAGCTCAAGGGCCGTCTGTGTAAAACACCTATTTTGGGATACCATGATGCAAGCAAAGAATTTATAGTTGACACAGATGCAAGTGATATAGGACTTGGCGGTGTGTTTTCTCAACGGAATGGTGACCAAGAGGTCGTGATAGCGTACTTCAGCAAGTCGTTGTCAAAACCGGAAAGGAACTATTGTGTCACAAGACGCGAATTGCTCGCTGTGGTAAAGTCGTTGCAGCATTTTAGCAAATATCTTCTGGGACGAAAGTTTCACTTACGAACTGACCATGCTGCACTAAAATGGCTATTGCAGTTTAAAAATCCAGAAGGACAAGTTGCGAGGTGGATTGAACTACTGCAGGAATACGACTTTGAGATCGAACATCGCAGCGGTAAATCTCACGGCAACGCAGATGCATTGTCAAGAAGACCTTGTCCTGAAGATTGCAACCATTGTACTAGGCAAGAGAGTAAGGAAGAGGTATCCGTGAGGATGCTCAGGACGGACCACCTCAGCAACGAACGGAAGGACAGCTTACAACATGCACAGCGGGAAGATCCGGACATCAAGCCGATTCTGGAATGGATGAAAGCCAGTGCTCCCAAGCCTAAGTGGAGCGACGTCTCAGCAATGTGTTCGACCACTTAAAGCTATTGGGCCCAGTGGGACAGCTTGCTGCTTCAGGATGGAGTTCTGTGCCGTAAATGGGAAAATGTTAGGGGAGACAGCTGTCATTTGCAAATGGTTGTCCCTAAAACTAAAGTACCGGATGTTCTACAGCTGTACCATAATGATTGTTCCGGAGGCTATCTGGGAGTTAAACGAACTCTACTGAAGATCCGAGAACGGTTTTATTGGGTCCACTGTCGAAACGATGTCGAGGACTGGTGTCGCAAATGTACAAGTTGTGCGGCTGTAAAGGGACCTCAGACTCGTAGTAGAGGTGCATTGAAGTTGTACAATGTTGGT